TGAATTTCCGTCACACTGTCATAGCGACCGTAACGGGTGGCGGTAACCACCACAATCGTTATGCAACAACGTTACGTAACGGTTGCGGACGCTTTTTAAAACCTTGATTGTGGTCATACTGAACCTTAGTGTTGGCAGAAGTATGGTAAGCCTAACCATGTGCATCAGGTCACTGATGTAGCTCCTTCTTCCCAGACATCTTCCTCTATCCATGTTGCTCCTTCGTCTAATTCTCATGAGGCACTCACTACTCAGATTAAAGAGCTTACTCCACTCCTTCATTCTACTTTTCCTCCATCCACCACTACCTTGGTTGGTTTAGGTAATATTGCATGTATGGCTCAGTCTAGCCAACCTTGGCTCCTAGATTCTGGCGCTAGTTCACACATCTCTGGTAATTCATCTCTTTTCCATGATTCACATCCTGTTACCCACAATATTGTTCTTGTAGATGGGTCAACCTAACCAATTCATAGTATGGGTACATCTCACCCTACCATCACTTTATCTTTACCCTCCCCTAAATTTCCTTTTAATTAACTGCCAGTTAGTCAATTAACCAAAGCTCCCCACTGTTCCATAACATTTTCTCCCGCTTCTTGTGTTTTATAGGACCTCCAAACCAAGAGAATGATTGGTTTGGGGCATAAGCAGCAAGGCTTATATTATCTGGATAATACCCGCTCCCATATTCCTACTTCATCCGTTTCGAGTGCTTGCATCTCTCCCCTGCAGTGGCATTTTCGTTTGGGACATCCGTCTTTGGCCAAGCTTAAACTTGTTCCTAATTTGAGTCATGTGTCTACACTAGAGTGTGAAGCTTATCAGCTTGGAAAGCATCACCCTAGTTCCTTTCCTAGTCGTAGTGTTAGTCGTGCATTAGAGTCTTTTAATGTAATCCACACGGACAGTCCTTCTCGTACTTCTACACTCAATGTTTTTTTTTTTAATTTCGTTATTTTTGTAGATGATTTCTTTCGAATGACTTGGTTGTTTCTATTAAGTCAGCGTTCTGAGTTGCCCCATATATTGTCTAAGTTTTACAATGAAATTCATACTCAGTTTGGTAAACGTGTTAAAGCGATTCGCTCTGATAATGCTTTAGAGTATACACAGTCTATTGTTGATTCCTTTTGTGTTGATCGTGGTATTATTCATCTGATTACATGTACTCACACTTCTCAACAAAATGGGGTTGTTGAACAGAAACACCAACATATGTTAGATGTTGCTCATACCTTGTTATTTAACATGCAAGTGCCCAAGCACTACTAGGGTGACATTGTGCTCACCGCCTGCTCTCTCATTAATCGTGTGCCCTCAGTTGTGTCACATATCAGTCATCATTTTCCCTATTATATCCTACTCATTCCATGTTCCCTCTCCCTCCAAGTGTCTTTAGTTGTGTAGCCTTTGCTCATGAGTTGTCTCCCCGTGCTCGTAAGTATGTTTTCTTAGGCTATGCTCGTACACAGAAAGGGTATCGTTGTTACCATTCTGATTCTTGTCGTTATTTGGTCAATGCTGATGTCACTTTTTTTGTGTCCACCCCTTTCTTCTCTTCACATGGTCAACAATTGTCTCCTGATCTTATCTCTTGTCGTGAGGGGGAGCCTTCTTGTCCCACTTCTACCCCCACTCCTACTCTTCTTATGCTAACTATGTCCTCTTCTCCTTCTCCTTCCCCTTCACCTTCACCTTCACCAATATCTTCTCCTGTTGTTCCACATCTTTCCTCCCCATTGCAAGTCTACCAAAGTTCCCAAACTCAACGTGTTGTTGCTTATGGCCCGGCTGGTTCATCTTTTTCATCAGAGGTTCCTATCCCATCATCTCCTCCAAACACTCTTGATTTGCCTATTCCTTTGCATCGAGGTAAACGTACTTATACTCAACATCCTATTTTCTAGTTTGTTTCTTACGCTCGTGTTTCTCCTGTTTTTCTTTCCTTTGCTTGTAGTTTGTCTTCTCTTTCTATTCCAACCTCTTATCGGCAGGCCTTGTCTAGCTTTGGATGGAAACATGCTATGGATGAGGAAATGAGTGCTCTTCATCAGAATCAGACATAGGAGCTCACTACTCTCCAGCTTGGAAAGCCAACTGTTGGGTGTTCTTGGGTTTATACAGTTAGGTATCTTCCTGATGGCTCTGTTAAACGCCTTAAGGCTCGCTTGGTTGCCAAGGGATACACCCAAACCTATGGTGTTGACTACCATGAGACCTTTTCTCCTATTGCCAACACCTTAAGGCTCGCCTCAATTCCATTCAGATACTTATCTTTGTTGCTGTCAATTGTTCTTGGCCTTTATATTAGCTTGACATCAAAAATGCCTTTCTCCATAGCAATTTGCAAGAAGAGGTCTATATTGATCTGGTAATGAACACCTTGTTTGGCGCCTACGAAAGGCTTTGTATAGACTGAAGCAATCTCCTCATGCTTGGTTTAACCGCTTCAGTATTGTTGTGCTTGCCTATGGATTTAAGCATTCCACTTCTAATCATTCTGTTTTTGTTCACCACTCCTCTGGTGGGGTTGTCGTCTTGATTGTTTATGTGGATGAAATTATCATTTCTGGTAGTGACGGTACTAGGATTGCTGATTTGAACACTATTTAAGCCAGCAATTTTATGCTAAGGACTTGGGGACTCTTCGGTATTTTCTAGGGATTGAGGTTGCTCGTTCTTCTCAAGGGCTTTTCCGTTCTCAGCGAAAGTATGTGCTTGATCTTCTCTCCGAGACTGGCCTCTTGGGTGCCCGACCCTCTAATACTCCTATGGACTCATCTGCCAAACTTGATGGTGAGCATGGAGAGTTATTTTTTGATGTTGGTCAATATCGTCGCTTAGTTAGGAAGCTGATCTATCTCACTGTTACACGTCCGGATATTACATATGCCGTGAGTGTGGTCAATCAGTTTATGCATACTCCTCCTCGCCATCCTCACTTGATGCTGTGTGTCGTATTTTGCGTTACCTGAAGAGTGCCCCTAGACGAGGTGTCCTATATCGTCCTTCTACTTCTTTACATGTCATTGGTTTTATTGATGCTGATTGGGCTGGTAGTCGTACTGATTGTCGTTCTACTTTTGGGTATTGTACCTTTGTTGGTGATAACCTGGTTACTTGGCAGAGTAAGAAGCAGCATGTTATTGCTCGCTCCAGTGCGGAGGCTAAATATCGTGCTATGGCCCATACTGCATTTGAGATGCTCTGGGTTCATTCTCTTCTGCAGGATTTTGGACTTCTTGTTCCAACTCCTATGTCCATGTGTTGTGACAATCAAGCGGCTATCTTCATTCCAATAATCTAGTGTTTCATGAGCGCACCAAGCATATTGAGGTTGACTGTCACTTCATTCAGGATTTATTATTACGAAAGCAGCTTGTAACTTCCTATGTTCGGTCTGATGATCAATTGGATGATATTCTTACTAAGCCATTAGCTCATCCTACATTTCAATGCTTATCTGCCAAGCTAAGCATGTTCGATCTCCATGCTCCAGCTTGAGAGAGAGTTTTAGAATGTCATGTGTTATTTAATTCTATAATGAGGGTTATTATTGTCATATTGTACCACTTGAGTTTAATATAAATAAGTGTTGAAGTGAAGGGTTAGTTTAAGCACCCAAAACCTAATTTCTACGTATTCTCTTTTTTTCTTTTCTCTCTTCTTAATCCTTACCCTAGTTTCTACAAATCTTTACATTCAACTAGTGCTGAAATCGGTCATGAATCCGAAATGACGGCACAGCACAAGCTGCCATACCTCCAGATGCTCCGTTTGCTGCAGATCCACTCTGGTTTTGTCCAGAATCCCCCCTTGACCCATCCTCTTTGAATCTGATTTTGGAGCATTCAATGCACTTGATGTATACCAGAAAGAAGAGGCTTTCCTGTGAGCTAGGCTAGGAGAGTAGCCACCTTTTCACTCTCCTTCAGCCGATTCAGATACCAAATCCTACTTATTGGAGAGAGCTGCAGAAGCTCTTCCACCACTTCAACTGATGTGGATGCAGTCAGCAACAGATAGACGTAGACTACCATTTATCAAGTAAATGGTGATATGATAAACAGACTACCACTCTTGCAAATATTGAAAACTACAGTTGCATTTGATTGGTAGGACTCTAGGGCTAGAGTCTGAATCCCATGGTCATTCTACCCTTTTTCTAACTAGGAGATACGCTGTTAGTGGGTATCTCATTTCTCCAGAAGGGTAGTTTTCTCATTCCCACAAGGAAGAAGAAATATTGTGATTCCCGTCCTCATTGGAACAGAAGAGTGAGCACTAAAAGAGGTACAGCAGATATATATGTACTGATGTGAGTTTAACAGCTATAATACATAAAATTAGTTGACATAAAAATTTCACTGATATACTAGTGGGGGAAATTATTAAAATCCTGCTTAAATAAGATCTAACTTATAGAATTGTAATATTATGATCAAACTTTATTACCATCCTGTAACAAGTAACAGAATAAGGCATTCTCAAGGGTTGAATCATAGAGAACAAGTAATGTCAGTATGTTACACGAGTTAGATAAAGAGAAGGATTGAAGATATTAATACCGAAAATATAGCCATTTTTTCTTATTAAAAAAAAAACTTATAAACCATAATTATAAGGAAAGAGAATGATAGCATCTTAACAGTAGTATCCCTTTATTGGGCACCTAATTCATAGTAATGTGATACCCATTCTTGATGCCCCCTCTCTGCCATCACAATATAAAATGAAGAATTGCGCAAAGGCCCTTACTGTGACAACCATTTTACATTCGGCATGACCTTGGACTAATTTAGAAGTCAAGGTAACATAATTCATACTTTTCTCCTTAAGAGATCTAGATACTAGGCGTTCTCACAGTTAACTGAAGACGTCAATTTTTATTTATTTATTTATTTATTTTTAAATTAACTGAAGAGATCAATTTCAAGGTGTAAACGTCAGACCTCAAGCTAAGGAAATCAGTTTTAAAGGAAGAAAGAGTCCCCAACCTTGGACGAAATAGTAGGGAGCATGGCATTACTTTCCCGCACCAAGCTTCCATCCCGCCAAAAAGTCAGATTAGCCCGAGGGAGCAAAAGTCCAGGATCAGTACACTGGCACTTGACATCCGGACCAATTTTCTCAATCACCTCAAACCTCACCATCCCACCATCCACTAGGAGTTCATCCCCCACTTTCACATCTGCCATATCAAATTTCAGTAAAAAAATCGGATGAACTTTAATGTTTGTACCAAAATATAATTTTTTTACAAAAAAATAAATAATCCTCTTTACAACCAGAATGTAAAAAAAAATGACCTTCGGCAAAACCATCATAGTTGACATTGATAGTGCGCTCTGGGCGAGGTGAATCAAGAGCTCGAACACTGAAAGTCCATATCTCACCATCCTGCATAAGAAGAGTAACTGAACAGAATAAGCTCCCTGGCTGTGAATTAACACAACTCCAATACAATAAGTTGTAAGTCACACTAGAGAAATCCATATCATTCTCAATATAAAACTTGGACAGGCTCCACAAATTTTTTAAGAATTTTGACCAATGAACCATTTACATTCATGCAAAACTGACTCTGTATGCGCTACCATCATCCATATAGTGAAAATGTGAGCCACAGCCAATAAAATTGTAAAATGACGTTTCCTAGTGATGTACAAGACTTCATATTGATAAACTGAAATAGACTTGCTTCCAACTTATAAGACTTAATTGAAAATCTGGTGAATGTCAAAATTGCAAAGGGGAAGCAACTTTGATCAGCCACAAAACTACTTCTCAAAGCCCCAAATCAATAACTACTTAAAGTCTAAATTTAACTATCTGCACAAACAAGTAAACATCAAATACCAAATGCCATACAGGAAAGCAACATTCATGGTAGAAGCCTCTTTTGGCAACATTTAGTTTTAGCCAAACAGCCAAAAAGTCACTATAAGTTATCACATCACTCTCTACTTTTCTGCATATCTTTTCGTAAAAAGCCAAAAGTTATCAAAATAGCCTATTTCCATATCACTCTCTCTACTTTTCTGCATACCTTTTCGTAAAAAGCAAAAAAGTTACCAAAATAGCCTATTTCCAAATGAGGCCTGAGACTCCTATAAAGTTGCCTTGGTGAGGATGGCTACAATTGCTACACAAAATACTCACTCAATGTTTTAAATCATGCATTATTTAGTCGGCAACAACTAGATTGCCCTCTCTCTTTGAACCGGATTACATCAACTCCTGACAAGACTTTGCGAGCAAAAAGGAGTCCATTGACTAGTTGGATTTTCCAAACAGATTAAAGGAAAAAGTAAGAGCTGAATATGTATCAAGTTTGTGTCACATCTCATTGTGCATCAGACATATCATATTCAGATTCATATTGCACCTCAAACTTGGAGAGATATATGTTCTCAAAGTACAAACAGAAAGTACATCTATAAAAAGAAGGGCAAATTTTATCACACAAAATATCACTATTATGTCTCCAAAAACATAGGACCTCCCTTAACTCAAATGGACAATATTTGCAAAATATATCAGCGTTATAACCCCCAAAATATAGATCCTCCTTAACTCATGCAAGTGTCTTATCTTGACACAGCACTTGTGGTAAATAGTAAAAGAGTCTTTCAAAGTCTCAAACACTCATAATTCACGCAATCATACTAAAATCAGGTTATTCTAGACGTTTATTAAATTTTGCTTCTTGGCTAGTTTGGCTGACATCATTGGGCGAAGAACAAAAAGAATAAAACAAGATAACCAGCACAAAAGGCCTTCTACAGCTACCAAACCAAAGGCCTACCCAATGTGCAATATTTACCAACACAACACAACAACCAACTCTATGATGGCATTGCAAGAGCAACAAAAATCATATTCTTCATCGAACTATCAGAATCTTCCATCAGACCAAACCAAACTCAACCAGATATCATCACAAAGCGTTCCTCAAATTATCTAGTAAATTAGCAAGAAAGAACCTAAAACAGTCAATTGAATTCAATAGTTTTGTTCACAATCAAAACAAAACGAGTATAATTTAAGCCAAATGACCTAAGAACAACCGATTTAAATAAATATACCTCGGCTTTTGCTGATGGAGCACCACCGAGGTCACCCATGTGAATCTCACTCCCTTCAGTATCCATCATGACAGCAACAGCATAACCTTTCTCTTCGTTCAACCTCCTCACCCGCTCGATCACCATCCGGTGCCAGTCCCGTGTGCCGTGACACATGTTGATCCGAGCCACATTCATCCCTCCCACAGCCAATGCCTCCAGCTGCTCGAACCCACACGTGGCGGGTCCGATGGTGCAAATTAGCTTCGTCCGCCTCGTGCTCCGAAACCCGTTCTCCTTCAGCTCCGCCTCCGTCACCGCATCCACCTCAATCGAGCTCGACCAATTGTACTCCGACGCCACCGCCGCTGCTCCGCCGTTGTCGGAGAGAAGCACCGGCGACGACGACGATGAATCTGGACCTGAACACGATGCTGAGATCGATTTACGCAGTAATTTTGCAGGAAAGCGGAAATTGAAAGTGGATACGTAGGGTTTGGAATGAGATTGGCTTGTAATGGTGGAGTTCGGGGACCGAGACGAGGATATGGAGAAATTGAGGGATTGCGACATTGTTGCTTGAAAATATGAAGAAATTGGGGATCTTCGGCTATAGGAAGTGTTGAATCGCATGTGAATTGTACGAAACAATGGATGATTTGGGAATTTGTTGATTGTATTTATGGCTGTCTCACTGTGGGGTATGTATAGACGGAGAGATAAAGGTGGGGATTTGGAGAGAGAGAAAGAGTGGGGGGCGGAGTAAGCGAAGTGCGAAGAGTGAAGTTAGAGCTTCGAAGTTGTCGCCTTGAGGGAGGTGACGATGGGGTTGTTGCGAAAAGGAAGGTGGGCTGATTGAGTGCTTCTCGGGCGAAGAGGACTATTGTATTGAGGGTGAATCGTTTTAGGTTTTTCGACTAATCAGCTTGTTTGATTTGGGTTTTTAAAATTCACTTTTTAAAAATTTAAAGTCTTGGTTTGGGAAGTAGTTTAAGTAATACACCTAATATAAATACATTTTAAAAAAATAATATTTTAAAAAAAATTAAAAATTAGATATAAAAAACAAAGATTATAGGATTATCTCAGCACAAATAGATCATACACCAGCAGACATAGAAGAATTTAGAACACAGCTTAAAGAATTACTAGATCTAGGAGTAATTAGACCCAGCAATAGCCCGCATAGGAGTGCAGCATTCATGGTTAGAAATCATGCAGAAATAAAAAGAGGAAAAGCTAGAATGGTGATAAATTATAAAAGATTAAATGATAATACAGAAGATGATAAATATAATATACCAGATAAAGACCAACTCATAAATAGAATACAGACAGCAAAGATATTTAGCAAATTTGATTGTAAGTCAGGATTTTGGCAGATAAAAATGGAAAAGGAAAGCATACCATGGACAGCCTTCTGTTGCCCTCAAGGACATTATGAGTGGCTAGTTATGCCCTTTGGATTAAAAAATGCACCTTCCATATTCCAGCGCAAAATGGATAGTATATTTAATAAATATAGTTTTATACTGGTATATATAGATGACATATTAGTGTTCAGTTCAGATAAAAGTAGTCACATAGATCATTTGTATATAACATTAGAAGAATTCATAAATAATGGAATAATAATCAGCAAGGAAAAGATGGTATTAAATGAAAAATTTTTAGGAAATTTTCTTTACAAATAAGTTTTTAAAAGTAGTCAAACCAAACAAATTTTTTCAAAAAAATTTCTCAAAACTTATAAACCAAACAAGTTTTCCAAACAAATCTCTCTCTCTCACACATCAAATCAATCATTTTTTCTAAAACTCTCTCTCAAAATAATTTTCCAAAACATCTTTTGAAAAAAATCAAACCAAACAACTTTTCATACTTTTTATCTCTAAAACTCATCTCCCAAACTCAGCCTCCGTTTGGGAAGTGGGTTGGCTTTTTGGCTTTTTTGGCTATTTTAGCCTGGGCTTACAAGCTTGGTTTGGGAAGGGCTTTTTGGCTTTTTGGCTTTTTTGGCTATTTTAGCCTGGGCTAAAAAGTTTGGTTTGGGAAGGATTTTTTGACTTTTTAGCTTTTTTGACTTTTTTTGTGAGAGAAGAATGTAATGATTATGGGTTGGATGTGATGTTTTGTTTGTTATGGCTAAAATAGCCTATTTTGTTTTTTGTGGCTAAAATAGCCAAAAAAGCCTCCAACCCACCTTCCCAAACGGTGCCTACGGTTTTTTCAGACCAAGTTTTTAGGTTTTTTGACACGTAAGTTCAATGAGATTGAATGCATTTTAGTAGAGAAGTGTCGCGCTACTCGTATTCTTTGTTCGTGTCATATTATATATATTAATTAATTTATTAATTAGTATATTAATATTGGTTATGATATTACGAGTGAATTATATTAACAATCCTTATAATTTTAGATTTGTGTCACTTTAGTTTATGATTTTTTAATTATAACACATTTGACTTTTAATTTTAAATTTTGTTTCAAATAAGGATAATTGAAAATTCATTTCTCAATTTTAAAGACAAAATAGTCAATTTGATAACATATAAACTAGTTTGAGAAAATAAATATCAAAAAAATATTTTTTAATTTTTAAAAATTATTTATACCACCAACGATAAAATTATATCAAATTGATAAATTTTTTACATATTTATTTATTTATTTTTAACAAATTAATTTTTAATATATGTTTGGATTATAATCATATAATGAGTGGTTGTTTTTATTTTTATGAGATTAGTTTCTATTTTTTCAAAAGTTAAATATGGCGACAATTTTGATATCATTATAAAATCAATCCATTAAATTAAAAAATTCAAAACTAAAAACATTTCATATGTTTAATATATCGATTACACATTAAGGCCCCGTTTGTTTTGGGGTGCAATGGATGGGAGAAGATTAGGATGGAGGTGAAGTTATTATTGTGTTTAGTTGTAGAGTTGGGGAAATGATTATGATGGAGGAAGGGATTAAGATGGAGGTTGGAAGGGAGATTGGGATGAAGAAGGTGGAAGTGGAGGTGGTATTAGAAAAGTAATGAGGGGATTAGAAATTTTTTTATTTTTTATTTTTTACATATTGGAAATTTTTTTTTAAAACATTAATGTTTAATTTTTTATATTTTTTTATTTGCTTTATTATTTTATATAAAAATAATTTAACAATTCTTATACTAACAACTATCATCAAAACAAACACAATTTTACTTAATCCCCTCACTATCTATCCCTTTACTAACAATTCCCTTACTATTAATTCCCTTATTATGAATTCCCTTCATTCTACCTCTCAAAACAAATGGAGTCTAAGCCTAATAACCATTCATTACATAATGATCATCCAAATATCTATTAACAACAAATACAGTCATCTAAATACATGATAACCATCGAAAAGCATAAAAAAAAACACCAACCATTATATAATCATCATCTAAACACATAACAAAAATTAATTTGGTATAAATAAATAAATGTGTAAAGGATTTATTAATTTTACATAATTATTTTTTGTAGGTAGAAATAATTTTTAAAAATTCAAAAATATTTTTTTAACATTGATTTTTGTCAAATTAGTTTATCTTTTATCAAATTAACGACTTTGCCCTTGAAATTAAGTAATGATATTTTCAATTGTCCTCATTTAAAACAAGATTCAAAATTTAAGGTTAAATGTGTCACAATTGAAAAGTTATGGACCAAAGTGACACGAGCCTCAAACTATATGGACTGTTAGTATAATTCACTCTGATATTATTATTAATCTCACTCATTATACAAAAAATAACAGTGGTGCTATATGCACCAATTAATATACTAACTAATATACCAACACAACTTGTGACATTATTATTGATTTCACTCATTAATTACATTACAAAAATTAAAAATCTCTTAAATTATGTCATATCATCAATTAGTACACTAGTTAATATACTAATTAGTACTTCTATATTATATATTAAGCAAAAGGGAGTTTTTAACCCCAAGCCTTGTGGGAGCTCCAATCTCCCAATCTAAATTTCCTAATTTTTTGATTTTAAAAAAAAATCTTAGCATTTATTAACACTCTTAACTCTCAAGTCTTACCCCCATAATAACACTTTAATGCATTAAGAACAAGCATAAAAAAAATTCTTTAAAATCCAACACATATGAATCTATACTATATATTAAGCAAAAGGGGGGTTTTAAACCTCAAACCTTGTGGGAGTTCCAATCTCCCAATCTAAATTTCCTGATTTTTTTATTTAAAAAAAAAATCTTAACATTTATTAACACTCTTAACTCCCAAGTCTTACCCTCATAATAACACTTTAATGCATTAAGAACAAGCATAAAAAAAATTCTTTAAAATCCAACACATATGAATCTATACTATATATTAAGCAAAATTGGGTTTTTAACCTCAAACCTTATGGGAGTTCCAATCTCCCAATCTAAATTTCCTGATTTTTTTATTTAAAAAAAAAATCTTAACATTTATTAGTCCCAACACATAAGATTATTATCCCTCATAATAACACTTTAATGCATTAAGAACAAGCATAAAAAAAAATTCTTGAAAAGTCCAACACATATGATTATTATCAAAATATTAAACTTTAATATAATATAATAAAAAAAGACATTTAATTCCTTGAAAAGTCCAATACATATGATTATTATCAAAATATTAAATTTTAATATAATATAAAAAAGGAAAAAAAAAAGACATTTAAAAAAAATATATTTAAAAATCACAATTCACATATATAGATAATTGTAAACACAATCCGTGCATAGCACGGGTGATATGCTAGTATAGTATTATATCAATTGGTACGCTAGTTAGTATATTAATTGGTATATATAGCATTATTTTTTATTAGTGTACTAAATAGTGTACTAATTGATGATGTGACATAAATTAAGAAATTTTTGGTATTTGTAATATAATTAATAAGTGGGGTCAATAATAATGTCGCATATTAATTAATACATATAGCACTATCGATTATACAAATTATCAATACTAAAAATATCTTCAATTATGATATATCATCAATTAATACATTAATTGGTACATATAATATTAGTTTTTTTTTTATAGACCCTCGCCCAGCAAGTAGATGCGACTTTTATTGAGAACATCTCTGATTCTTTAGGTGGCGTTTGGTAACACTTGTTTTTAGTTTTCAGTTTATATTTACAAAAATTTTAAAAACTGTCATAAAAATTTGTTTGATAAATATTTTGGTTTATAAACCAGTGGACTCAGTTTATAAATTTTGTCAAAATTTGTAAACTCAAAAAATAAGTTTACGTTTTCAGTTTCAATTTTTTTTTTTTTGACCACCCATCACTCGCTGCCACCAGCCACCATTTTCCACCACCGTCTTCCGCCGCCACCACCGTCTTCTGCCGCCACCACCCACCACCGTCTTCCTCCGCCACCACTCGCCACCACTTTCCACCACCTTCTTCCGCTGCCACCACCTGTCACCACTTTCCACCACCATCTTCACCACCACTCTCAAACCTCTACCTGCCACCACTTTCTACCACCATCTTCCGCCGCCACCACCCGCCACCAACAATCTTCCACCACTACCACCCGCCGTCACTTTCCACCATCATCTCCGCCACCACCACCTGCCACCTACCACCACTTTCCACCACCGTCTTTTCGCCGCCACCACCCGCCACCTGCCACCACTTTCCATCACCGTCTTCTACCCGGCCA